GGCTGAGTGAAGGGGTTCAAGAAGCAAAAAGGTGTGGGAAATATGCAAGAGTAGCGCAGGAAGCTGTAGGTCTGTGTCCGTTCTGATGGCCAACTTCAGTAATTGCCTGTTTGAAGGCCCAGTTTGAGTCACCCTGACTGAAGTTGGTAGTACTGGGCTAATACTGTAGTTCCTAATTCCCTTTGAGCAGGAGGATTTGGCAGCTGGGTCTGTCTGGTTTGTTTCAAAATTGGCCACTGGAATTTGTAAGCAAGCACATCATTAGATAAGTGAGCCCTGTTCTCAGAAGAGGCTGGTGGGAAAGGGAGAAACAAAGTTTCAAAGTTTGAAGGCTGAAAGCAAGAAAGGAAAAAATAAAGTTTTAAAATGCATTGTGAGGCAGGGATACTGTTACATAGTCACCACTTGAGGTATCAAAATTTGGGTAAACTTCTTGTTGATAAAGAAGCTATCCATAGACCACTGGCATCATTAATTTTTTTTTTTTTTTTTTTTTTTTTTGAGATAGGGTCTCGCTCTATCACCCAGGCTGGAGTGCAGTGGTGCAGTCTTGGCTCACTACAGCCTTTCCGTCCTGGGTTCAAGTGATTCTCCTGCCTCGACCTCTTGAGTAGCTGGGATTACAGGCATGCACCAGCACGCCCAACTAATTTCTGTATTTTTAGCATAGATGGGGTTTCACCATGTTGGCCAGGCTGGTCTCTAATATTTGACCCCAAGTGATCCATGCAACTGAGCCTCCAAAGTGCTGGGATTACAGACGTGAGCCACCGTGCCTCGATGTTACCGTTTTTTTTGAGACAGTCTGTCTCCAGCTCTGGTGCCCAGGCTGGAGTGCAGTGCCACAATCTTGGTTCACTGTAACCTCTGCCTCTCATGTCGCAGACTCCCAAGTAGCTGGGATTACAGGCACATGCCACCATATCCGACTAATTTTTGGCATTTTTAGTAGACGCAGGGTTTTGCCATGTTAGCCAGGCTGGTCTGGAACTCCTGGCCTCAAGTGACCTGCCTGCCTCTGCTTCCCAAAGTGATGGGATTACAGGCATGAACCATAGCACCCAGCCATCATCATAAAAATCCAATGGTAGTGTTCTACAAAGTGAGTTAAGAACATCTTTCCCCAGCTTTGATAATACTGGTGTAGCTGTTACAGTTACCATTAATAAAACACCCACCAAATACCTGTCAAAGCACTTCCTGGTGGTGGTGATTATTTCACCTTACTGATATGGAGAGAATCATGGCACAATGTCACATAGGAATTTAGTGGCAAGAGTCAAACCCGATTCCACCAAAACTCCAGACCAAATTAATTTATTTTTGGTGAAAACTACAAACTGGCCTACACTTTGTTCTACAGAAAATAACTTAGAGCTCGTTGGTGTTTTAAGACATGAAGTAGCAATTTCAAACTATGTTACAACAGAAGAAGATAATTTAAAAAGATTAAAAAAAAATCTCTTCCTCACATGTACAGAACTAATTTGGGTGATAATTCCTTCTTATAGTCACCACCAAAAATTTGTGCACGTGAAAATTGGCAGTTTCTTTGTAGCCAAAAACGTAGATGAAATCTGAATGCAGTATAATTGTTTTTGGTAGGACTGAAATATCTATGCTCTCAATAAAGCTTAAATGAATGCTTATGACTATGCATTACATTTTAAAATAGGGGATTTCATGTAGATTAGTAAACTTGCTGGGTATGGTGGCTTATACCTGTAATCCCAGCACTTTGGGAGGCTGAGGCAGGTGGATCACCTGAGGTCAGGAGTTCGACACCAGCCTGGCCAACATGGCAAAACCCTGTCTCTACCAAAACTACAAAAATTGGCTGGGCTTAGTGGCATTCATCTGTAATCCCAGCTACTTGGAAGGCTGTGGCAGGAGAATCACTTGAACACATGAGGCGGAGGCTGCAGTAGGCTGAGACTGTGCCACTGCACTCCAG